TCTAACCCTGACCTGATGATACCCGGACCTCAAATCTAGTTGGTAAAACCAATATGCACCCTGTAACCGGTCGAATAAATCATGTATCCTTGAGAGTGGATAACAACTCTTCACCGTCAACTTGTTTAACTCCCGGTAGTCGATGCACATCATGTGTGAATCATACTTCTTCTTAATGAAGAGCATCGGTGCTCCCCATAGAGAACTACTCGGACAAATGAACTGCTTGCCCAACAGCTCCTGTAACTGAGATGACAGCTCCTACATCTCGGGTGGTACCAATCAGTATGATGCCTTGGCAATTGCGGCTGCACCTGGCACTAGGTCGATCCTGAACTCACCCTGCCTCTCCGGAGGCACTCCAGGTAACTCCTCTGGAAACACGTCAACGAATTCCCTGACCACTGGAACCTATGAAACCGAGGTATGATCCCCGACCCACGTATCTACCACGTATGCTAGATAACCCGCAAACTCATGCTGAATGTACTGTCGAGCCCTAGCAGCTGAACAAAACCCTAATCTCACTCTGGAATGTACTGTCGAGCCCTCATGGCCTTGATGGGTTCTTGAGTCCCATCAAAAGTCAGGGGATTCATGTTATCGAAGTTCCGGTACTGGAATGCCCAATTGGCTCCTCATCCTGTCGCTGTTACAGCTGCGGCAGCCGCCTCAGTAAGGGCTACATATCGTTCGTCGAAATACTCAACCATGGCGGTCTTTATAGTCCCAAACATCTCTGGTAACTCTGCCTGAAATAGTGAAACAACCTCATCATGCAGGATCTCCCAGATCCTGGCATCCAAATCCTCTGGTCTCATCTGACCAGTAGCCCCCATCACTATCGCTGGCTTTCCCTAACTGCTACTCCTGATCCAGATCCAGCCTCGAAACGTCTCGTGACCACCATACTGAAAATATACCAAAAAATATCAGACATCTCCTATAATAATGGGGAATCAACTCCCAACATAGTCATAGGGGTTGTGACTTCCTTGATATGCGTATGGGTCCTGTGCTTTCAGTAGTACGAGCCATACTACCATGCACACCTACCCACATTTTTCTCAAGTATCATCACAACGCCCTAACAATATACATAAACATAGCGAGCGCTTAATCCTCACTCCTAGAGGAATGCTAGATATCTCATAACTGGCCTACCGACCTCGCACAACCCATCCATCCATGAAACTTCCACTAACTGTGCAACACTAGTGTATGCTAGGCATACATTACGTTGGAGCACCATAGACTTTCGAATACCTGATCCTTCCCTAAGTCCTTCATCAAACAAGAACAGGAAATAAGGCCAAACCAATCATTCTCAGGCTATACGATCTTGATTATGTACAACCGTGATGCATACATTAAGAAACTACAATAATGATGTCAATTTCATATAAGGAAAAACCCAAGGCTATCATGCACCATATAATTAAGCAATTCTATACTGCAATTCCTAAAGATCCCTAGCCTAGTACTAGTATGTTGTTCTAACATATCACAAAACCAAATATTCTGTAAGGTATTTTGGGGTCTACTTGCAAGCTCTGGCTGATCGTACACTTGCATCCTCCTTTAGTATTTTGAAGACCATTTAAAAAAATCATTTTGAAGATCTTTTCCTTGATTTGAGTCTGGATTCATACGGGTGTTCCTCCAATTCACTCAAACCAAGGCTCTGATACCAACTTGTAACATCCCAAAAATTCAAGCCAATTTAAAACTTTTTAAATCATTCAAAAACCAATAATTATTACAAATATGTTTTCAAAATGGTTTAATGTCAGAGTTTCCCAGAATCAAATCATAAAACATACGGAGGTGCACGATCACGCCTTAGCCTTCCCATGATCATCAGAAGTACCTAAACAATAATCGATAAATGTAAGCTCGAAGGCTTAGTGAGTTACCCCCAAAATTCCAACGCCATACAATCATAATCATATTATGTAATCAAACAACATGCAAAACGAGCCTTTAGCATGACTGGACCACCTCACAGGCCTTTAATCTATCTGGACCGCTCTCTAAGCCTTCGGCACGTCTGGACCGCCTTGCAGGGCTTACAGCCTATCCGTATCGCTCGGCGGGCTTTCGGCCTGATTGAACCGCTTCGTAAGGCCTTCAGTTTTATCCGAACCGCCCTGGGCATGTTGGCCTTCAGCACAAAGCATGACCACCTCAACCCAACCCCCAATCAAACAAGCATGTGCACATAAATATCATACGCTAGCATATACAACAGTCAAACCGATCTAACAGATCACTAATCATAGCAACATCTTATAACCAGGATACATACCTAACCGGTCACTAACATAACATCATCCTATATACCAAGATACAGACCTAACCATGCCACTAAGCATATCACCATCCTAACTACCATGATGTAAATCAATAAGCATATCATGCAATAATCCGGATACAAATCCAAAAAGGGCCGACATTGGTGCCGTAGACCCTGTCAGTATAGTGAGGAGAACTCACCTCACAATGTCGAACTGAACCACGAAATCAAGCTCTCGAAACACGGATCTAAACTCAACCACCTCCAATATGAAGCTAAGATGGAGTAAACTTAGATCCACTAGCTTCTCCTTGCTCCAAGCTCCTTAGAGTTCACTCCTTCTTCTCAAAATCAACCTTCCAAGCTCCTTAACACACAAAAATGGAAGATAAACGCATTTAGGGTTTTCTGATCTCAAGGGGGATGGTAAGGGAGGCCGAGGGAGGCTTATGACCCTTTAAATAGGGTGCAAAACCCTGAAAATTAGGTTTTCGTTTTCCATCTCCTACTCGTTGAGTTTTACCTCTCAACTCGTCGCGTAGAGAATTCCCTACATTTCGAGTGGAGGCCATCAACTCGACGAGTTCCAAGTCAAAATTGTCCTTTTTAGATAAAATTTTTATACCTGGGAGTCGGGGTGTTACATACATTTAGTCACTACAATATTTTTCGTACATGATTTACCTCTGATTTATTTGAAATTGTTTACATTTTACCCTTATGACCGGTTGTAACCATTCATAAGGGTTAAATGTGAATAATTTCAAATAATTCAGGGGTAAATCAAGCATGAAAAATTTCAATGACTAAATATAAACAAAATTGAAAGTTCGTTACCCTTTCAAGTCATTATCTCATAAATGGTTCTAAATGTTATTAAGAATGAGCACAAATAGAATATTGAGGTCACACGAGTATGTTGTAATATTCATGTGATATACCTTTAGTGTATAAGGTATAAAAAACAACATTTAGAAATGCAGTAGGAGCGACTTCAATCGCATAGAAACTAACGGAAAAAGATTGTGTTCAAACATTTACTTAAGACAAAGGCGACAATTTTCAGTCTAGAGGATGGAGATGGTCGTTGTAGCTTGTAGGAGGAATAAAGCACATTTGATAAAGATATGTGAAGATAATGCGATGCTAGATTTGAATGAGGTTTTTCTCTTTACAAGAACAATAGATTTGATTAGAGAGTGTGGATGTATAAGATCATGGTCATGGAGCGGTAAATGAGTAGTCGAGGTTTTTCTCTTTACAACAACACAACTATGATCTCATACATCCACACTCTCTAATCAAATCTCTTTTTGTTGTAAAGAGAAAACCCTTATTCAAATCTAACATCAAATTATCTTCACATTTTTTTTATGATGTCTCTCTTCCTCGTACAATCTACAATGATCATTTTCATCCCCTAGAGTGAAAACTGTCGTCTATGTCTTCAAAAAATGCTTGAACCCACCACAATCTTTTTTCCTTCGGTTTCTATGGTCGCTCCTATTACATTTATAAGTGCTGTTTTTTGTACCTTAAGTCTAAAGGTATATCATATGAATATTACAACATACTCACTTGTATGACCTCAATATTCCGTTTGTGCTCATTCTTAATAACATTTAGAACAATTTATGAGATAGTGAATTGAAAGGGTAACAGACTTTTAGCTTTGTTCACATTTAGTCACTGAATTTTTTTTCATGCTTGATTTACCTATGAATCATTTGAAATTATTCACATTTTACCCTTATAACCGGTTACAACGATCATAAGGGTAAAATATGAATAATTTCAAATAATTCAGGGATAAATCAATTACGGAAAAAAGTTCATTAACTAAATATAAACACAACAGATATTCGTTACCATTTCAAGTCATTTTCCATTTTATTATTTAGTTATTACCATAAAATATTTTACTCATAATCCAAATATCCGGTTAAGGCAAATGTACAACTAACCAATTTGGTAGAGGTTTTACCTCTTAAAGTGGAGATGATGATGATTTCTTCTGACCACTAACCCTATCTTTCAATAAAATAAAATAAAATTATCCAATTAAGAAACTAAATAATAAAACAAAAACATAAAAAACTTTTCAACGGCGAATTCTCAGAAAACTCAATTGCTCATTTGAGTCGGTTCAAAATAGTCCGTCACCCACACCAAACCCAACTGTTGAGATGATAGGATTAGGGACGCGGCGGATGTAAAGAGAGAAGGCCAAGACGAAGAGAACGGTAAGTGCCATGGAAAAGTGAAAAGGAGAATCGGAGGTGGAGGCGATCCATCTAATCCCGGACCCATCACATCTACTCGAACCTGATCAACCCTATGAACTGCTGACTCAGTAGTGAGGTTCAATTGTTCATCGTCTTCCTTTTGATAAGAAAATTTATAGGGCCCACCCTCACATAATTTTTACATGGTATGATGAATAAGCTGTAATTTGCAATGTTTTGGTAAATATTTTTCTACCTGTTACTGTTTAGTTTCGGCCATGGCAACTTACAACTTTTGGGTCCACAAAATTGTGGTGTACATCGATTTCATCCTTATCTATGCGCTAATAAATGACCGAATCCTTTCTTCATGTGCATCCATTTCATACACATCTCTAGTATACCAATAATTGAAATCATTTTCTCTGTTCATCCATTTCATCCACATCTCTACTATATTTCTGCTCGTATCATCAACAATGGCTGAAATTGTTCTTTCTGGCTTCTTAACGGTGGTCTTTGAAAAGCTGGCTTCTGAATCCTTGAAGAAGATTGCACGCTACAAGGGAATTGATTCTGAGCTTAAGATACTGAAGAGGTCATTAATCCAAATCAAAGATCTGCTTAATGACGCATCCGAGAAGGAAATAACCAATGAAGCTGTTAGAAGATGGTTAAATGGTCTCCAACATTTAGCTTACGACATTGACGACCTACTTGACGATTTGGCAACGGAAGCTATGCATCGTGAGTTCACAGAGGAATCTGGAGCCACCAGCAACATGGTAAGAAAGCTAATCCCAACTTGTTGCATGAACTTTTCACTAAGTACGAAGATGCACGACAAGTTAGATAGTATTACCACCAAGTTACAAGAACTAGTGGAGGAAAAAAATAATCTTGGTTTAAGGGTGAAAGGTGAAAGCCGGAGACATATAAATATGAATAGAAGATTACAGACCTCTTTAGTAGATGCATCTAGCATTGTTGGGCGCGATGGTGATAAGGATGCGTTGCTCCACCAGCTATTCAAAGATGAGCCATGTGATAGAAATTTTAGCATCGTGCCCATAGTTGGTATGGGTGGGGTAGGTAAGACCACTTTAGCTAGACTCTTGTATGATGAAATGCAAGGGAATGATCATTTCCTACTCAAGGCATGGGTTTGTGTTTCTGATGAGTTTGATATCTTCAAAATAAGCAAAACTATCTTCCAATCTATAGGCGGGGGAAACCAAAATTTTAGTGATTTAAATATGCTTCAAGTAGCTTTAAAAGAGAAGATCTCAAAGAAACGATTTCTGCTTGTTCTTGATGATGTGTGGAGTGAAAGCTATACCGAATGGGAAATTCTAGAACGCCCGTTTCTTTCTGGGGCACCAGGAAGTAAGATTATTGTTACAACCCGGAAGTTTTCGTTGCTAACCCAATTGGGTTATAGTACTCAAGCTTACAGTCTGTCGGTTTTGTCACATGAGAGTGCTGTATCTTTATTTGCTCAACATGCATTTGGTGAAAGTAGCTTTGATTCACATCCCACACTTAAACCACATGGCGAAGGTATTGTGGAAAAATGTGATGGTTTGCCGTTGGCTTTGATAGCACTAGGGAGGATATTGAGGACAAAAACAAACGAGGAAGAATGGAAGGAGCTGTTGGATAGTGAGATATGGAGATTAGGAAAGAGAGATGAGATTATTCCAGCTCTTAGACTAAGCTACCATGATTTGTCAACTTCTTTGAAGCACTTGTTTGCATACTGCTCTTTGTTCCCCAAAGACTATGTGTTCGACATGGAGGAGTTAATTCTATTGTGGATGGTAGAAGGGTTTTTACCCCAATCGCATACAAGCAAGTCAATGGAACGTGTTGGTGTCGAATATTTTGAAGAGTTGGTGTCAAGGTCGTTTTTTCAACATGCGCCCGATGACAAATCGTTGTTTGTGATGCATGACCTCATGAATGATTTGGCGACATCTGTTGCTGGAGATCTTTTTTCAAGGTTAGACATTAAGATGAAGAAGGAAGTTAGGAAGGAAGGTATGGAACAGTATCGGCATATGTCATCTGTTTGTGAGAAATACATGGTTTACAAAAGGTTTGAGGCATGCAAAGCAGCTAAAAATTTGAGGACATTCTTAGCAACCTCAGTTGTGGTGAAGAAAAGTCGGGAAATATTTTTCATATCAAATAAGATTCTAACCGAATTACTTTGTGAGCTACCATTATTAAGGGTCCTAAGTTTGAGTTGTCTTAACATAAATTTGGTGCCTGAATTTATTGGTATTTTGAAACACTTGAGGTATCTTAATTTATCTCGAACTGGAATCACACATTTACCCGATAATGTCAGCAATCTTTATAATCTACAGACGTTGATCGTTTTTGGTTGTCGTAGTTTAAAAGAGTTGCCCAAGAGCTTCTCAAAGCTTAAAAATTTGCAACATTTTGACATGAGGGATACTCCACTATTGAAAAAGATGCCCTTAGGGATTGGTGGGTTGAAAAGTCTAAGAATTCTCTCTAAATTTATCATTGAAGGTGACAATGGGTTTTCAATAACTGCGCTTAAAGATTTAAAGGATCTCCAAGGAAAAATTTCCATTCAGGGTTTGGACAAAGTGCAAAGCGTAATGCATGCACAAGAAGCAAACTTATCCTAAAAGCGGATAAGTGAGTTAGAATTTGAATGGAGTGATGTATTTGATGATTCTCGAAAGGGAACACTTGAAAAGGAGGTGTTCAATGTGTTAAAGCCTCATAATGATAGTCTGAAAGAGCTCGGAATTGTGTCATATGGAGGTAAAGAGTTTCCAAATTGGGTTGGGGATCCCTCATTTCTTTGGTTGGCTCATGTGTCGATAAATGGTTGTAAAAATAGTACATTTCTACCACCACTTGGGCAGCTTCCATCACTTAAGGAGTTATTTATTGAAGGTATGGCTATGTTTAAAGTTGTGGGCCCGGAGTTTCGTGGGACTAGTCTTGCATTCCCTTCACTTAAAATTCTAAGTTTTCGAGATATGAAGGGTTGGGAAGCATGGTTAGCAAATGCAACATTTCCATGCCTTGAAGAGCTTTCGCTAGATCGATGTCCAAATTTGGTTAAAATCTCACTTGAAACCCTACCTTCACTAAGGGTTCTAAGAATAAACCGTTGTGGTCCTGATGTGTTAACAAATCTGATTCGTGTAGCTTCATCGGTCACCAAGTTGGATATCAGGCATATTTCAGGACTTAATGATAAGGTGTGGGGAGGTGTTTTACAGTGTCTTGGGGCAGTTGAAGAATTAAGAATCGAATGGTGTAATGAAATAAGACACTTGTGGGAATCAGATGCAAAGGCAGGTAACATTCTTGTGAATTTAAGGAAGCTAGAAGTAACTTATTGTTCAAATTTGGTGAGTTTAGGAGAGAAAGAAGTGGTTAATTTTGGCCATGGGAGCAACCTGGAGTTTATCAGGATATATTTCTGTAAAAAAATGCAGCATTTCAGTTGCCCGGATAGCATCGAGTCATTGAGTATATTTGATTGTGCTTCAGTTACATCCATCTCCTTCCGAAATGGAGGGAAGAAGCTCAAGTCACTTTCCATTCGAGGTTGTGAGAAACTGTTGCAAAAGGAGCTTATCAACTCAAGCATGCAGATGCTTGAATACATACAAATAGGTAATTGCCCAAATATGACATCTTTCATTCAACTCAGTTGCTTCATTCACCTCACCGAATTGGAAATAAAAAATTGTCAAAATATGGAGTCATTTCTTGACCACGAGTTACCTAATCTCACTTTTTTAAAACATCTTACAATAGAAAATTGTCCAAGCATGGATGCTTCCTTTCCTCGTGGACTTTGGCCTCGAAACTTGTGTTCCCTTTCAATAGGGTGGTTGAAGACACCTATCTCAGAGTGGGGCCCACAGAATTTTCCAATCTCACTTGTTGACCTACGGTTGGGTGGACAGTCAGAAGATGTGACTAATTTTAGTCAACTGTCTCATCTTCTTCCTTCGTCTCTTACTTCTCTTCGCATACATGGATTTGAGAAACTGGAATTGGTTTCAGTGGGACTCCAACACCTCACCTCCCTCCAGCATCTCTCTATTTACTACTGCCCAAATACGATGGATCTACCAGGAATGTTGTTGACTTCACTTTTGAGTTTGACTATACTTAGATGCCCGAATCTGAAAGAAAGGAGTGATAGAAGAGACTCCTACTGGTCCCTCATCTCACTTATCCCCTGTATCTACATATCTTGAGGTGAGCACTTGTAAGCTTAATCTAAAGCTATGTATGTTCCTCCCTCTACCTTTGATAATAATAATAATGATTAATTCTTGTTTCTTTTAATCAACAACATGCAAATGTTATATAAGTTTTGGCTTGTATCTCAACATATGGTTGCTAACATGAACATGCAATTGCATCTTTTTTGTTTTATGATTGTTGAATATGATTGACGTTGTGTAAATGGAAAGCCCTGTATAATATATTAAAGTTTTAAGAAAAACAATCAATTTGAAATTCCAAAATAAATTGTGTACTAGGTTTGATCCTAGAATTTTTATTATTTGTTGAAGTTGTACAATTTGGATTTTGAAATCATCACAATAATAATCTATTCTAATAAAGTACAAATAAAACAATATGAATACTAACTAAACCCATTTCAAGTTTACAATCTATTCAAAGTCAAATGAGTTAAATGGATGGTTGTTTAACTAATAGATCGGCATAAGTCTGTTTGAAAGTTAGATTAAAAACAGAGCAAAAAGAGAGAACACCAATCAGGTCAGTCTTATGGTTTAGTAAATTCACTAATTCATGATTATCTTATTTACTCATTGTAAAGAATATAAACGTATCATATAGGTGTTAAAATAACAAGGCTAACCACATAAATTGGAGCTACATCAACATAGATTCAAGATTTTTAAAGGTTAGAATGGAATTTTATGAAACTTATCATATTTAATAAAAATAATAATTTTTTAATATACATGCTATCATCTAAAAGTGATAGGAGGATGAATAGGAAGAATAAGTGAAGAATATTCAATTTCTATACTACAAAAGTAAAATGTTGTTATTGGACAAAGACATGGAATATAATCGTTCTCATTCATTGTCCAACAGTTTGTTTCCTGATTTTTGATTTGTATGACGAAAAACTTAATTGAACACATCAATTCAGTTCTGACCGGGCCCGACACAACCAACTCGTAAACAACAACTCATATATCTCGGTTTAAAGACTATACGATATTATCGTCTCATAATTACCCGTGATAAATACCATGAAGTAATTCAATGAGCATGAGTTTAATCCAATACTCAAATCCCCATTTCAGGAGTACTTATGAACGTAACATCAAACATTTGCTATGTCTAAACACTTAGACAATCTACAAGCCAATTCATGACAATCTTAATTCAATACTTACTCCCAAAGTATGATTGATTGTGGAAATTTTGAACAATCCAATTATTTAGGAAGTAAAACATGCAAAGTTGAAACACAAAATAAACAATTGACAAAAGATAGTACGTAATACTCATAAATAAAGCTTCATTACTTAATCATCAAATGTCAATTACATTTTTATTGTTACAGGTTTCTAAAATATCTATCTAATCACTAAAACTAATATCGTCCTTCAGACCAATGCTCCTTGCATGTTGAACGTGCTTAATCCTACTCATACACTTTGTGAGGGGATCTACATGATTCTCTTTTGACGATACCCTCTTGACGACGAGGAGTCATTCTTCTACCCAATGTCTGATGAAGTGGTATTTTCTATCGATATGTATGGATCTTCCATGATCCCTTGGTTCCTTGGTCAAGGCAACCGCTCATTCATTATCGCAGAAAATCTCTATGGGCTCTTTTATGGTTGGCACAACTCCAAGGTCTCCAATGAAGTTCTTCAACCATATAGCCTCATTTGACGCTTCCCTCGCAACTATATACTCCGAATCACATGTTGAATCAGCCACGGTCTCCTGCTTGGAACTTTTCCAAGTCACTGCTCCTCCATTGAGTGTAAACACCTAACCAGATTGAGAACGGAAGTTGTCTCGGTTTGTTTGAAAACTGGCGTCCCTATAACCAGTAACTCTCAAGTCATCACCGCCACAAAGTACAAGGACCCAATCCTTTGTCCTTTGTAGATACTTAAGAATCTTCTTAACTGTTATCCAGTGAGCTTTACCCGGGTTCCCTTGATATCGACTGACCATGATCAAAGCAAAAGCCACATCAGGGCAAATCCATGTCATAACATACATGATCGAGCTAACGACGGAAGCATATGGAACTTGACTCATTTCTGTTATCTCAGTATTTGTACTCGGACTCTGAGTCTTACTCAACTTGGTGTTGCTCTGGATAGGTAATTCTCATTTCTTAGAATTCTCCATGCTAAAACGCTTCAACACTTTATCCAAGTAAGTACTTTGACTAAGTCTAATTAGTCTTCTACTCATATTTCTTAAAATCCTTATTCCTAGAATATAAGTAGCCTCTCCTAGATCCTTCATAGCGAAACACTTTCCAAGCTAGGACTTAACTTCCTGTAAGGTTGGAACGTCGTTTCCTATAAGCAGTATGTCATCAACATACAATACTAGAAAGCTAACTATACTCCCACTAGCTTTGACATATACATAGGACTCATCCTCACTCCTAGAGAAGCCAAACTCTTTGACCTTCTCATCAAAGCAAAGATTTCATCCGCAAGAATCTTGCTTCAATCCATAGATTGATTTCTCAAGCTTACACACTCTATTGGGGGTACTTAACATCCACAAAACCCTCTGGCTGACTCATGTAAACATCTTCAACCAACTTTCCATTAAGGAAAATGGTTTTGACATCCATCTACCATATTTCATAATCATGTAATGCAACTATGGCTAGCATAACCCTAATAGATTTGATCTTGGCCACTGGTGAGAAGGTCTCATCATAGTCAACCCCTGGGGTTTGAGTAAAGCCTTTCGCAACCATCCGTGCCTTTAACGTGTGTACCTTTCCAACCATGTCGGTCTTCTTCTTGAAGATCCATTTGTACCCAACTGTCTTGCGACGTGGTAAATTGTCAACCAAGTTCCAAACTTGATTGTCATACATAGACTGGATCTTGCTGTCCATTGCCTCTTTCCACTTGGTAGACTCAGGGACCGCCATGGCTTCCTTGTAGCTAGAAGGGTCATCCAAATTTACCAGTGTACTGTCACTAATAAACATATCACCATCCGTAGTAATATGAAAATCATAAAACTCTGGTGTCATTCTAACTCGATTGGAATGCCTGAGAGGTAACGGCTCGTCAATTGGTTCAACAAGAATTTCTTCCTCAGGTTGAGCGCTAGTGTTAGAGGTTCCTTCATCGATTGACTCTTGAATCTCTTCAAGATCAATTATACTCCCACTGACCTCTTTGCATATGAGATCCCTCTCGCGAAAAACTCTCCTTTGTGCTACGAAGACCACATTTCCATTAGGTCTATAGAACAAGTATCCAAAGGACTTATATGGGTAGCCGATGAAAATAGATCACTTACTTCGAGGTTCAAGCTTGTCGTGACTCTCTCGTCTAACGAAAGCTTCACAACCCTAAACCTTGATATGTGCCAACGAGGGAACCTTCTATGTCCACATCTCGTGAGGTGTTTTGGCAACCTTCTTTATCTCGACTAGATTAAGGATATGGACGAAAGTCTCTAAGGCATACCCCCAAAACGATATCGGAAGCGAAGCTCGACTCATCATGGAACGAACCATGTCTAACAAGGTTCGATTACGCCTCTCAGCCACACCATTTAGCTGTGGTGTCCTAGGAGGTGTTAATTGTGAAACAATTCCACATTCCTTGAGGTAGTTGTGGAACTCGATACTAAGATACTCACCACCCCTATCGGAATCGAGCATCTTGATCTTCTTGCCCAATTGATTTTTGACTTCATGTTTAAACTCTTTGAACTTTTCAAAGGTTTCTGACTTATGCTTGATTAACTAGATATATGTAACATCCGGATTCCCAGGTATAATATTTTATTCTTTTATTCTTGGAAGTTGTGAGGAGACTCGGCGAGTTGGTGTTTAAACTCGCCGAGTATGGTCGCAGATTTGTATCCGGGTTCACAGCCGGATTCGGCGAGTTCATGAGTCGACTCGACGAGTCCATGCTGTTTAATGAAACCCTAATTTCCGGGGTTTGGGACCTATTTAAAGGCCCTTAAGGCAGTCATTTGCGGCTACCAAACCCCAGAGAGAAACCCTAAGAGATCTAGAGCGCTTGTGAGGAAGGAGAGGCCATTCTTGATCTTTTTGTGGGTGTTTTTGCAAGAAGGAGGTGACCTAGGAAAGAGGAGGCTGAAGGAGGTACGATTTTGGTGACTTTAGAGTTCATAGAGTCCATATTGAGGTATTTATTCGGACCTTCTTTAGTTTTGGTGTTGATTCTTAGAGATAGGGTTTTCTAACCCCCCTTTAGAGGATGGATAACTGGAGCAATTGGTCCCTTCTCGAGTCTATGCTTTGGATCTGGACCCAAAGAGGTCCAGAGACCTTAACCCTTGGACCATTATGAGTTATTTTGGGAGCCATGAGCTTAGGATGTCATTTTTGGGGGTAAATCACCAAGTTAGACCATTTAGATGATATGTGAGTGTCAAGGTCTGAACTGTACGTGATTATCATGCTTGGAAAGGCCAAATCTATGAATTAAAAGAACAGATCTGACCTCAGGAGGTCTATGGAGTTTGTGCATGGCATGAACTTGCCGAGTCCGAAGATCAGACTCGGCGAGTAGGATGAGGGTTTCCCGTAAATCACTAAGTGAGTAGACTTTCCGAGTTGGGGAAATAACTCAGTGAGTCAGGGAGAGTTAAGGGACTGGAGTTCAAGGCGAAACTCGTCGAGTTGTTCTTGAGACTCGGCGAGTTGAGTCGGGGTGGCCCCGCGATTCATGCCAGGTGTGACTCGTCGAGTAAGGGGAAGGACTCGACGTGCCAAGAGGGACTAAGAGAGTCAGTGGACACATGTAGACTCGCCGAGTCGCCCAAGTGCACTCGACGAGTCGGGTCAAAGTTTCACAATTGACTTTTGTTGACTTTTAGGGTTTGGTCAACAGTGAGGCCTTTGAGCCAAGAGAGGGGTAAAATGGTCTTTTACCCTTCTGAGAGTGTTAAGAAAGGTTTGAGTATAGTTATATTTATGAGAGTATTTACTTTATGTGATTAGGCGGAGGCT